TGGCTCGGCTCGCCGGACGGCGCCGCGCTGGGTTCCGTAGGGGGCGGCAGCGCCGAGCTTGGTCTGGGCAGCTGGACCCGGCCAGATGTGGAGAGCGCGGGGTGGCCGAATCGGTTTGGGGACAGTTGGTGCGGTTCTGGTCTGGGGCGGCCGAAAGTCCCGGGACCCGTCTGAGCTTGGAGACCCTGATCGTGCGGGCCGGGTCCGGAGCGGGGGTCAGGGGCAGTTCTGCAGCGGCTGGATCCAGTCGGACCTGAGCGTCTCGGGACGCCAGGTGGATCCGGGGTGACTTTCGGCTTGGAGCACCGCGAGTGGCCGCGTCGATCGCCTTCGGGCGCTCTATCTGGGACTCCCGATCCCACTATGGCTTAAGGGGTTGGAGAGTGGAGGAGGCTGAGCAGCCTGGTTGGTCGCTGTCAGAGACCAGGGGACAATTGGAGACCGTGTGCCCAGCCATCTGATCTCCCCAGCATCTCCCAGTAATGAGGTCTTAGAGGAAGGGCTAGGCAATGACATCAAGAAGGGAGCTGGGGAGGGAGATTTCATGGGGGGGCTTCTGAAGCCCCAGGGGAGAAACCCCAGGCTGGGCTTGTTGAGAGCTGTTTTAGGGAGGGGGCTTGTGTCTAGAAGGAAAGCCAAGACTTTTTAATCATCTCTCTAGGGCCTGATGACCACTCCTCCATCATGGAGGCCAAGCCACCTACTTTTCTTGAGTTTCTTTCCCCATGGACAGACCCCTCTGATTCTCTCCTAGTCCTGTTCTGTGCCCTCTTAACTGGGTACAAGTCACCATGCAGGGCCAGAGGAGGGTATGTATCAGTGATGGTGGCTGCCAGTCTCAGAGATACAGCCATTACCACTTCTCTGTGACAATGCTGTGAAGCCTAAGGGGGCCAAGGTGGGGGCAGGATGGGACCCCCTGTAGACACGAAGAGTCCCCCAGTGACTCCTCAGGCCCAACCCCTACTTTGCCCAGAGCTGGGGTCCCCTTCTAACACCCCTTTCCTCTTCCCTCACCCCACTAGTATCTGCCCCGCCTTCCACCATCACTTGCCTGTCCAGAGTCAATAATAATGAAATTATGGCTTGACTGCATACTCAAAAGTCCTTAGAGACCATCTTGGATCCAACCTACCTTTTTGGTCAGGAATTCCTCTCCTGGAATGCTCTGCTGGGGCAGTTTCAGTGACAGGGAGCTCACTTCTTGTTGATCGGCACTTGATTTAAGGTTTTCAAAAAGGGGATGAGACTTTGAGGTCATATTATTTACTCTGCCTCCAAGCCCACCCTGACCTGTTACTCAGAAAGAGAACTTTTTTCTCCTTAAAAACTACCAAAGAGAGGCCACCTTGCCTTGGTGACACTTTTCGGAGCCTCACAACCTGAGAAGCCCCCTAATCTGTCAAGAAGACTCCAGGCTTTGATGTCAAACAGACAGGAACTTTGATCAAATTGTAGCCTCACCCCCGAGTATCAGTTTCCTTGTCTGCGAAATGAGATGGTAAGTCTTATCTTGCAGGGATGATGTGGGGATTCGGCGAGATAACCCCTGAGAGTGCTTTGCTCAAAACACAGCTTCGTTTCCTTTCTTGTTCACCCTTAAGCTCACGTTGAGAAGTTCTGCCTGACATCTAACATATCTGTTAGTCTGCAGGAAGGATTAAAGTTTATCATGGTCGTGGGGAGAAGAAGAAGGAGTCAGTGATACTTACAGAATCATTCATTTGTTCTTCATTCAAGAAAGGCTTATGGAAGACTTAGGATATACCAAGCCCTGTGCTTGGAAGGAACAAAGTGTCATAAAAACTGTGTTAAGGAAACGTCTACCAGTCCATAGATGTCTGCATGGACCCTCAGGCTACGTGGCATGTCTTTGGGAGAGCAAAGATATCAGGCCAGGCCAGGGATCCCTCCTGGCTGGAGAGATAAGAGAAAGCTTCACTGAGCAGGTGACAGCTGAATCGGAAAGAACATCGAGGTGGGGAGAGCTATGTGGGCAGAGGACCAGACATGTGAGCACGGGGAATGCTCTTGGAAAGGCCGGAATGGGGCTTGCCTGGTACCAGGGCATGAAAGAGCCAGGACGGAGGAGAGAAAGTGGGCAAGGGACGCTGCTGGTGCCAGGTAGTCAAAGGCTTAGTCTGGCTGAGGAGTTAGAGCTGCACTGTAGATTGTTGACCCACCACGTGTGGGTGGGGTGGAGGCTGACGGCTGACTGTCATTTTGGTTTCCCCTAAACACTAGTCCGTGTGCTCATTCCTGAGGTGGGGTGATTCAGGGCTGCTAAAGTGTTTATTCCTTCCGTCTCCTGCTCTCTATGGGTTTTAAACAAATCCTGCATTCCCTCCCTTCAGCATGGCCAAGTTTCCCCTGGCCTCCGGTTCCTAACGGGGCTCTTTTGGAAAGTGTGTGTGCTGTTTCCTGTTGTCCTGGCTGGATCTCCCTGACTGTCCCCAGTTCCCCACCCAGGTCTCTAACCCCTTGGCCAGGAGTCAGCGCTGTTCCTAAGGGCCTCAAATGGACCCCCCCCCTCCGCCCAGTGTAGCTTTGGGGTGAGGGTTCTGAGGACACCTTTTATATCTTCCGTCTTCAGTTGTCCTCATACCACCCAGCAGCAGGCACAGAGAGGTAAAGGAGATTGCCCAGGGTCACACAGCAGGATAGTGCCAGAGCAGCCACAGACCTCCTAGATGTTTGGAGGGTTACCAGGCAGATAGGTTGGGGTGAAGGAGGCCCAGCCCAGTGTTCCCAGTCTGCTGTTTGTGGCACCTTGAGAATGTTCCTTCACATTCCAAACTGATGACTGAGCTTAAAGCCACGGCTGAGGGGTGGGAATCATCTTTACTGTAAGTTGCTGAGTTGAAGACAGGGTCCAGCGCCTAGGTTTGAATGCTGCATGTTGTGTGACCTCAGATTAGCTGTTCCCTCTCTCGGTACTTCCTTTCTTCCCAAGTGGGGCGGATTCGCTCCCTTCTTGGGATATCATGAGGATACAACAACCTAGGATAGAGTGTAGAAACACAGACTATTAAGAACTTAAAGGAACATTTGATTTGAAGATGGGAGGCCAGCCACATGGCCCCTGACAGTCTGTGTGGGGTTCCCAGAGCATAGGAGTGCCTTTCCCTGGGCAGCCAGCGTCTGTGCTGGTAACTGGGTTACTCACGTTTCCTTGCATTGCTGCGATTTTTGGTAAACAGGCATATTGTTAACTTTTGTTAAAGTGTTAACTTCTGTTAAATACATTGTTTCCCAGAAAGAATTGGAGAGACCAGGCCCTGTCAGTGGAGGAACAGGATTTGAGGGGTAAGGAGGCGGTAGTTCCAGGCACTAGCCAATATGACTAGCTTGGCTAAAGTCCACACTTTGAGGGAGGAACCATCAGCAGCCATTCACGACCTTTTATGTTTCCTCTCAGTTTTTTCTTTTTAGTTAATTAGGTAAACACCCCTGCCGTAGTCAAAGTGCTTCATTCATTCATTCATTCATTCATTCACCAAACAAGTCTGCCTGGCACAATATAAAGCTTTGGGGCTGCGGTCAGTTCAAATGAGACCAATAGGTCTCTTTTCCAGTCCGGCAGACAGGCAGATATGGAGCAGGAAGTTACAAGTGCAATTGCTGTTGCCAAGGAGACACACAGGGTGCCATGGAGCAGATAAGGGAACCTGGCCTGGGGATCGGAAAAGGCTCTCTGAGGACGTGATGTTAAAACTATGGCCTAAAGAGTGAATGGGACTAGGAGGAACATTCCAGGCAGAGGGAGCAGTTATGTGCAAGATGGGATAGAACATGGTGCGTTTGGGAATTAATTTGTCTGGAGGCTCGGAAGACAGGGCTTGGGAGGTGGCCAGGGGCAGGCGTGCGCAGGGAAGGTCACGTTCAAGATTTGGGATTCCATCCTCAGGGCAAGGGAGAGCCGCTCAGGAGTTCAGAGTGAGGGGAGTGACATGGACGATTTGCATTTTGAGATGATCATACAGGCTGCTTTGAGAAGAATGGGGAGCGGGGTGAGGCTAGAGGCTGGGGAACCAGTTAGGAGGCTGCTGGAGTGGCTCTGGGAGAGACGATGGTGGTGGCCTGGACACCACACCCAGAATGGGCAGTGAAGAGAGGAGGAGTCTGTGGTCCCAGAGGTCCCACAGAGCCCCTTTCCCTGTGGATACTGACATTCCTTCCTGTATCCTCATATATATATAACCAGCAGAACTCATGGCCTCAAGAAACTTCAGTCTAATCGAAGAGAAAGGCCAAGTTCCCAAACGCCTCTGAAATGAGGTAGAAAATGGTAAGTACCAACCTAGGGATGCAGCTCCAGGGTCAGCCTGGACATGGGTGTGTATCAAAGAAGGCTTCCCAGAAGAGGTGGCATTTGAACTTCCTGTGGCAACAGTTAGTGGAATGGAATGCTTCCTAGGAACTAAGCTTTGGAGAGATTAAAATAAGGACTGACTCCCCTGTCCTTCAAAGAGTTATGGCTGTTACGGGGGCAGAGGTGGGGTGCGGGCGGGCAAAGTTTAATGAACAGTCAGTGCTGATTGAACCCCACTGTCAGAGGTTGGCACTGGCACTAGGGCCTGGGGCTTTGGCCCTTTCCCCAGGAGCCCTGAGGGTGGGGTGACTGGGGTATTCGCAGGCCTGTCTTGGCTTACTGACAAGCCTTACTCCCTCATCCCCACAAGGCTCCTGGGAGATGTTTCTGGAGAACATTCAGGAAATTAGCTGAGGGAGGGTCTAACTTCAGGGCCCAGAGACAGGGAGGCAGGCCTGGCTGCTAGATCTTAAAACTATAGAGTGCTTGCATTGAAAGGGGATTCATAACCATCTCATTCAAATTCCCCGTTTTACAGGTGGGAAGACTGAGGGACGACACGAACATCTAGCATTTGCCTGGCACTTAAATGTGACTTCTTTGATCTTCACATCAACCCCAGGAAGTAGGTTTACCCCGTTACAGCATTGTGAAAGTGGAGGCCCAAAAATTACTTAAGGAGTTAGAGTCTGGAACTAGGCGGCAGCCCCTGCTTCCTCAAGATACTGGCTTCAGTTCCAAGCTGCCACTCAATTTAGCAGAAACTCTGCCTTCCTGGGAAGGATCCCAGAAGTTGGGGATGAAGCTTAGGCAGTTGGCCAGAGGTCTTGGTTGCTGATCGGGGCTCGACATCAGCCAGGCTGAAATATTGATTTTTTTTTTTCAAGTCTTTCACCTTTGCATAGCACTTGACAGTAAAGTCCTTTCCTCTCCATCCACCAGCTCTTCTTGGGGTCAGTTACTAGCAGAGCTAGGATTTAAACCGAGGCCTGTGACTCAGTGCAGACCCCCAGCTTCCCACAGGCCCCGGCCCAAGTCTCCAGTGGCCCCCTGTCTGGCGATGATGTCCCTGACTTCCTGACCACATGCCCCTCTGAGCAGGAGGATCAGCCCCTGGCCCAGAAACCTCCTCTCTCCCATCCTCCTCCCCATGTGCTCCTTGCTTCCTTGGAAGGAGAGGCCTGGAGGCGAGCCAGGAGGAGTAGGGTTACAGTGTAAACACCGAAGGAGTAGGGTTACAGTGTAAACACCGTCATGTCAATATTTACCTCTGCTTGGAACCAGAGCCTTCCGCCTCCCTGCCTGCCTCCCACTCACTGCCCGTCCAGGTGCACGTGGCCTGCTCTGCTGCTCTGATCTGGTCATTGAAAGCAAGGCCAAGGGTGAAGATCTAGCTTCTGTCCCAAACCCTGCCGTTAACATTTCACGTGACCCAGAACAAGACATTCTCCCTTCCGGGCCTCAGTTTTCCCATCTATAAAATGGCATGGCTAGAACAGACCAACTTAAGGGGCCTTTTTAGCAATGTCAGGTAGAATGACAAGCATAATTCTCAGGCTCAGAGCTCGGGCTGCAAGTTGGGCAGACCTGGGTTTCAATCCCAAGTCTACCACTTCCTCACTGTGTGACTGTGAGCAAGTAACTTAACTGCTTTGAGCTTCAGTTTCTTCATCTATAAAATGAGATCCTAGTGGTACCTATTTTGGAGATTTGTCAGTGAAGATTAATGCAATAACTCTACACAGCTCTTGTCACAGGATAAGAACTGAATAAATAGTGGTGGTGGTTATTCCAAATAAACATGTTATGGTTCCCTGAATCTAGTCACTGGATCGCTTCACTTGGGAACTGGAGCCAGGGGTAGGGACTGGAACCTCAAGCTCTCCTGGTACTCGGAGGCCACAGGCTGGGCTGGGGGAGCCCAGGGGTTTGAGAAAGCCCCTTGGTCAGTAGCACACACACTCACACAGCTGCCTAGCCCCTGGGGTTCCTTCTTATTGGGCGGGGTGGTCCAGGGCTGAAATGGCCTCAGAGATGTGTGGCTGTGAGATGAGGGAGGGAGGGAGAGGAGTCAGAAAAGGGAGGAAGGACACATTTCCTAAGCCCTTTCACAGAAGCACTGGAGTCCAGTACATGAGCTGTTCCCTTCAGCTGGAGCGGGGCGGTGCAGGGCGGGGACTGGCAAACCCGAGCTGTGAGCAGGGCAGGGCGGTGGGGCTGCCCATGCAGCAGAAGTGGGCCTTGGAGACCACTGGGCCTGGGTTCAAACCTGGCTCCCTCATGTTTTGCTGTGTCACTTTGGACAATATGTCACCACCTCTCTGAGCTTTGTTTTTGTCATCTCTAATCTGGAGCTATTGGGGCCTATTTTGTATAGTAGTTGGAAGAGTTTAATCAGATGCTGTTTTAGAAGAAGCCAGCTCCATCCTGGCACACACACAGGAGGGCCCCGTGGATATCAGCCTCTTTTATTAGGATGACAGTAAGAACCACATGCCGGTCCTGGTTCTGCTAGTGTCTGCACTTCTTGAGAGCAAGACCGTGCATTTAACAAAAATGTGTGATTTACTTACGTAAGACACATCTCGTGCGGCTCAGTTTCTACAAACGTACACACCTCTGTAACCACCACCTAGTAAAAAAAAATAAAGGATATTTTCACATCCCCAGGGTTTCCACGTGTCCTCTACCATCAGCCTCCCCTGCCGATCCGCTTTCTGTCTAGTTTTGCCCGGTTTTGAACTTGGACGGCTTGAATTCATGTTCTCTTGGCCTGGTTTCCTTTAGCTTCAGTCAACACTGAATATTTTTATGTTTGTCCATGTTGCTTCCTAGACAAGTATCTGCTTTCTTAGGCTGCCTTGTATCCCACTGGGTAGATGCATGTGTCAATGTCCGTGGGTGACATTGGGTGGATTCCAGTCTGGGCTGCTGAGACACTCTTGTGTTTGTCTCTTTGTGGACCTGAGCACCCCTTTCTCTCAGACAGGTACCTAGGGTGCTCCATTTTCAGAGTGTATTGTTCACCTCTTTGCCCACTTGCCCAAGCCTAGGAAGGCTCTAGAGGAATGTTTTTTTCTTTTTGAAAGAAAGAAGGAATGGAGTCTTTTCTTTGTCTTAGTGCTTCAGATCCACTCTGTTGATCCTGCCCCTGCCCTCAGGGCCTGGGAACTCCACGTGGGCCCTCTGCCTAGAGCCTGGGCTTTGGGTCTCCCCCTGGCATTTGTCAAGGCAAGGAGGAGGCATTTGTCCTGGCCCTGGAGACCCCAGGCTATGAGGCTGTCTGACCACTGATTGGTTGTATGATCTTTGGCAAGTCCCTCCCTGGTCCTCAGTTTCCCCTTCTGCAGAACGTTAGGTGGGATGATGTTTTCCCCAGCTCCCTAGTTTCTGATGGTCTCCTCTCATTTGGGAGCCATTCGCTCTGTGCTTCTCCACCTCTAGGCTGGCACCTGCCCCACTGGTGAGCCCCAGCTGTCCCATACCTCCGAGGAAGGACCATTTGGGAAAGTGGGTGGAGGATCTTCATTCTTGGTACTTTCCCTAAGAGCCTCATTGCGAATCAGTCCTTCCTGGTGAGAGTCCTCCAACGTGGGCCCCTGGCTGTGGGTGCCCCCACCCAAGGAGGAGGCTTTGTAGAGCTGGCCTTGACATCAGGCAGACATGGGTGTGAATTCTGCTACTTCCTGGCTCCGCGACCTTGGGCAAGTCACTCCACCTCTCTGAGCTCCAGCATCCTCATCTGCAGGGTTGTGAGGATGAAGTGAGGTCTTACCTCATTGTGGGGACCAAAATGGATGAGGCAGCAACATCCCTGCCGTCGAAGAGATGCATTCTAGGGGAGGAAGCCAGAGACGACACGGGCAACCCAACCAGCCAGAAAGGCCACTTCAGAGACAGGAAAGAGAGGAGCGATGTGGTGGGGAGTGGTGCACAGTGGGGCGGGGGCTACTCCAGGTGGGTGGGCAAGGAAGGAGGTGGCAGCCGAGCTGAAACCCGAAGGCCGAGGAGGTGGCAGAGATCTAGGAGAGGAGAGTTCTGAGCAGAGGAATCGCAAGTACAAAGGGCATGAGACAGGGACAAGGGCAAGAAGGCCACTGTGGCCGGGCAGAGGGAGTAAGGGGGAAAGGGGTAGGAAGAGGGGGCATGGAGGGGCCGAGGCATGAAGGGCCTTGTCAGTCATGGGGGAAGTCGGCATTTCATGCTATTCCCTTGTAGTAGGAAGTCACTGCAGGGCTCTAAGGAGGGGGATGACTTGGTTTGATTTGTTTTAGGAGGGCCCTGGCTGCCGTGGAGGATGGACTGTTGGGGGCAGGAGTGAGGCAGGGAGGCCGGTGTCCGGTGAGAGGTGAGCATGGGCTCAGTACAGTCACCTGTCCTGAGGGCAAGGAGGCTTATATTCCTCCAGGATCTGGGATTTTAGCAGCTACTTTCAGAGGATGGAAGAGAGGGGACAGAGCACCTAGATGCTGCAAGACGTTCTGGAAGCAGACCATGGTGGGCACAAGTTGCCTTTGGAGTCAGTCAGGCTTGTCTTAAAACTTCCACTTGAACTCAGCCTTGCAGGGAAACCTCAGGAATTTCCCAAAGCGAGCACGTTCCCACCACCCCAGGCTCTGTGACCCAGAGATATGAGGCCAAAAGGGCACAGAGCCAGAGCCCGCCTTCCCCACTTCCACATACCCTACTGAGAAGTGAGGACAGAGGAAGCGATGGCAGAAAGGAGATGATGCTCAGCCCCTCTGGGCTCTGGTTCCTGCTGCCGCTGCGGCTAGAGAGAATCCTGTGGTTTTGTGATTCCCCGGTGTCCCCAGCTGATCCTGGGGCAGGAGGCGGCCACGGGAAGGAGGTACTTGGACTTTCGGTGCCCCTGAGTATTCGGTGGGTGGTTACTCAGCATCCTGCCGGGTTTCTAGGCATGGTGGGCGGGGAGAATGAGAGAGCACGAGAGTTCACAGAGCCACAGAAGGTCTGAGCAGAAGTGGAAGTGGGAATTGGGCATCATGGAGACCAACCTCCTCGGGGCGAGACAGGCTCAGAAAGGGAAACAGCGGCACTTGGACCCTGATCTTTGGGGCAGCTAACCCACTGTTCCTTCTGGTTAAGATGTGGGTTTCAGAGCCAGAGAGACCTGGGTTCTAGTCCCAGCTCTGCCGCTTAGTCTCAGATGGGTGACCTTGGGCCAGTGACCATCTCTATGCTTCGGTTTTCTCCCCTGTGGAATGGAACAACAGCAACACGTTTCTCATGGGATTATTATGAAGAATGGTTGAAATGATTTGTGTATAGCTGTAAAGCTCACAGGATAGTGCACATAGTAGGTCCTCACAGTAAACGGGAGCTGTTATTAATATTATTACTATTGCAGTTCTGTCCTTCTGAACCTCGTGAAGAGCTGGAAAGAATGGCTGTGTGCTAGCCTTCACTTATGCTGCTTTCTAGTTCTGGAGAATGCAGTTAGGCCCGTCTCGCTGCCACTTGTTTATTTTACTGTGATAATTGGGAGACCCTTTAACAAGGCCCTTCATTACCACCACCTCCATCCCAACACACGCACACACGTGTGTGTGTGTGTGTGCGTGCAAAGCTTGGGTGGGCTGGAGATGTTCCGTCTGCCTCTTGCCTGAATGGGGCAGCAGGTCCCTACCACACACTCACTGATTCCTGTTTGTGTAGTGTGGCTGAGGGGTTAAGAGCAGGGGCTGTGGGATCCACTTGAACTTGAACCGTGGATCCACCACTTATTTGTTATAAAGGCCCTTTAAGCAGGTAAATTTTCCTCTCTGAGCCTTGGATTGCCCCTCTGTAAAGTGAGGATAACAACCCCCTCCTGAGGTGGTTGCAAACATTACCTGAGGGGAGATCCGCTCAGAGCACATCAGGTGCATGCACAGAGAGGTGGGTGTCACTAATAACAACATGTCATGTGTCCCAAACCCATTACGCCTAGTCCTCTTTCCATAGCTGTTCTCAGAGACTTTCTTGACTATCCCCCTGCCCATCCATCATGTATTCCCACCACCCTTGTCACTCCCTACCCCAGACTGCCTTCTGTCAGAGCACAAGTCACCTTGGATGAACTTTCCCACTCTGCCTTGTTTCCCTGCATTGACGCAGACCAAGAGCCTGAGCTCTGGGGCCAGCTGCCTGGGTTTATACCCCAGCTCTGCTGTTTCCTTGAGCAATCTCAAGCAAATTCCTAAATTCTTAGTCTCTGTTTCTACATGAGTAAAATAGGAATAGTAATAGTAGCAAACTCAGAGAGTGGTTTAAACAAGCAATATAATTATGTAAAGTGCTGGGATTCATGCCTGTCATTCAGTAACTGCCTCGTACTAGATTTTACTACCAGATGGAGTTCCGTTGGAGCAGAGCCCCTGCCTTTGTATGTCTGCAGTCCCAGAACAAGGATGGAATCGGAAGGGATTTAGGGTCTCTAGAGATTGACACTGAGGATGGGTTAAGTATTAGCCAGGTAAAAGGACAACGAGAAAGATTCTAGGCCAAGGGAATAGCATGTGCAAAGGCCCTGAGGTGAGTGTCCTATATATAGTATGTTCAGTGTAGCCGGAGTAGAAAGCAAGAGCAGGAGTGACCCAAGGTGGGGCTGAGAGGTCACCAGGGGCTCAGCCCCATGAGGTCGTGTAGACCAGGTGAGAGATTTGGACTTTATTCCAAGAGCAGTGGAAAGCGCTCGCTCACGCGCGCTCTCTCTCTCTCTCTCTCTCTCTCTCTCTCTCTCTCTCTCTCTCTGTGTTATGTGTTTTCAAATCAATAAACTTTAGGTTTTATTTTTTCTGTGCCAGAAGACAGCATTTAAATCCACAAAGGAAGAAACAGCAAACATTTATAACTGGTAAGGTGGAAGGTGCATCCGGCCTGGCAGAGGTACCAGCAGGGTGGTGACAGGATCTGACTTGCCTTTTTATTAAACTCACTCTGGCTGCTGAATAGAGATGGACTTGGGGAGAGGGCAAGAATGGAGGTGACAGATGGTGGTTCAGCCAGGGCTGGTGTAGTGGCGAGGGAGAGGCAGACAGAGACATTGAGGGGTAGAACTGGCAGGGCTTGGCCTTTGGGATGGGGCAGGGGATCCAGCCCATGCCTTCGACAGGTGAGACCACAGTCCAGAAAGGTGTGTGAGCTGCTGTGGGTCAAAGTCACATGGCTCCTTAGAGGCAGGGACTCCCATCCCAGGCCTTCCAGCAAAGCTCTGACTCAGGGCCCAGACTCCTGCCAACTGCTTTCGTAGAGTCCTTCTTCCAGGCCTTCTGGTGGCTGCGCCTCCTCCCTGTGCCTCCCCACCCCCGCTCCCGCGCTCCCACGCAGCAGCCTGGTGGCTTCAGGGAAGGGGAGGCTTCAGAGGCACATATTCGCTCTTTGAAGCATCTAAGGAGGGAGGAGCTGCGCTCTGACCTCCAGATTCTTTCCCCTTGACCTCTGTGCCTCCTGAGGACCTTCCCAGGCTTTGAAGGAGCCCACAGAAGTGGGGCAAGAGCCACTGTGCACAAGCAGCTCCTCACTGGGCAGGGGGAGTGGGAAGCGGCCAAGGGTCCAAGGAGATGCCCTACCTCAGAGAGAAAGGAGGCACAGGGCCAAAGCCTGGGCCTCTGCCAGTGGGGTCTCGTCCCCTCCTCCAAACCTCTTGAACTGGAAACTCATGGCTGTCATTTACGATCTCCTATATTTCCCCCAGTTAACCTTGTCTGGCAAATGAGGCCTCTGGGATGTTCAATTAAATGAACTGCCAGCTCTGCAGGCCTCTCTCTCCACCTCCCACCCGGGTGCAAGCCATCCCCTCCTAAGATCTCAGATAGCTGTAACTCCCTGTCATACACCTCATCCCCTCTGTAACTGAGCCCAGCTTTTCCTCTTTAGGGTTCAGGCTCCCCTTTTTCTCACCAGGTTCCCGAGCCTGCTCTCTCTTCAGGACCTTTCTCTTTGAAAATTGTCCCCGGACCCTGGACCTTGGCCTGACCTCTCTCTGAGGACTGGATCCCCTGCTTCCCTAGAGACCAAGCAACTCCTGCGCCCCACCCCACACACACACCACAGTCTCCTGGGGTTCTTTATCCCCCGAGAGACTGAGCCCGTCTCACCCTGACACATAATAGGCACTTAAGAAACGTGTTCTCTGCCTCCTGCCACACTCATCTCTCAGTCCCCTGCTTCGTGGCCCCTCCTGAGCCTCCTGCCGTCCCCCGCATGGGTATTTTTTGCTCAGGGAGCCACGTGCTGTGTGGCAACGGAGCCTGGGAAGCAGCTATTATTGGCTGAGAACATCGGGTGGGAGAAAGCTGAGGGCTGAGAAGGGGCAGGAAGAACACTCAACGCTACCGGCTCAGGCCCCTGGTCCTGATATCCTGTTGGTCGGGTGAGTCAAGTCTGGGACAAGTCGGAGTAGGGAGTTCAGTTATAGAAGTCACGGCACTGGTAGAGAATGGGCGTCAGGTTGGAAGCGAGGCTGGCTGGTGACAGGCCATTCACTCTTGGCTTCATAGGGAGCCAGAATCTCCTCGAGTCTCTCTGGCCGACAACAGGGACAACAGTCCCTGAACCCCTTGCACTTGTGTAGCTCTTTTTCACACCTGTCTTCACATTCTCTTACCTGTGTGCTCCATGGAGCAGGACGTAGGAACCACAGTTCAGCGAGCATTAACTCTAAGCCATGCCCTGTGGTAAGCAACACGTGCATCGACTCATTTCATTCGAGTCAACTCTAAAGAGATAGGTCCTATTGTGTCCTCATTTAACAGATGAGGAAGCTGAGGCTTGCTGAGGCAGGGTGGCTCACCCAAGGCCACACAGCTTCAAGTCAGTGTTTGGGCTGACTCGAGTCTGTTTTTTGCTGGCCCCTGTGGAGTGAGCATCTGACTTCAGGGTTGAGGGTGGGTGTGCTTGTGGCTCAGAAAGGCTGTTAGCAGCAAAGAAAGAGGAGGCCAGCAAAGGAGGATGAGAACAAGGTTGCTCTGGAACCCCTCTTGGGGGCTCTGGAGGGGAGCAGGTGGTACCCTTTGCGGAGGGGTCAGGCAGCTGGAAGCAAGTTTCAAGCTGGAGGAGGAGCTGGCACTGTTCTGTCCTCCAGGCACTCATGCCCTTTAATTGTGACTGTTCCTTCTCTCCCCAGAGGAGAAGTCCTTGTGGGCAGACCCTGGCTGTCTTGGCGTACCTGCCCTCAGCAGATGCCCAGTGAGAGGAGGGAGGAGGGCGTACCCTCACAGGGCGAAAATCCGGGAAGGGCTCGGGATGGAGAACACACTTTCCTGTGCCAGGTGGATAGTCCTGGAGTCAGTTCATTGTTCATATCGTTACTAGGGACACATCTCTAAGCATTTAGTGCCAGCTAATGGAGACGTAGAATTTAATCTGTAAAACTGCACGTTGCAAGCAATTCCAACCCCTACCTATTGTGCAATGTGTTTTCTTTCAAGAACAAAACCCGGAACGAAATTTAAGTGAGCATTTCTGCTGGCAATTTCTGATCCCTCCATTGAAGAGATTGCTTCATAGTCGTCGTTTTTTCCTTCTTTGGTGACTCGAGTTTTCTTGCTGTCCCCAGGTGGCAGTGAGTCAGCTGTAAAGATTGTTCAGGAAAGTCTAGAGGAATCTGGTTCCATTTGAGCAGTGCTGAGTGACACCCAGTGACACATTCAAGGTTGGGTAAGGAGAAACGAGTACCCTCCACTAGACACTTGTCTCTGTCACTTCCACCTTTGTGTGTCCCCTGCCTTCCTGGGGCCCAGAGCCATCTCAGCCAGCTCAGCCAGGCGGTGTGGTGACCCGCAGGCTCCACCCTGACTCAGCCCAGCCCTGGCCCTCTCTAGGGAAAATGAGTCATTTCTTCGACCC